CTGTTACAGTAAAAAATGTCACTTACATATATCATATAGGAGACACACACATTGATATACACTACATATTTATGTTATTTCTCTTTTTTTGTGTTGCCAATTTATGCACCTGCTTGCTTTAGTTTAAACAGTTATTGCACACTTTCTGTAAATCCAGTGAACTGCATTTCACTTCTCAAATATCACTGTGTGTCTCCTATATGATGTATTTAACTGACAATTTTTATTGTGACAACCAACGATTTGTACAGGAAAATAATTACTTTTCACAATGTTGCCCAAACTTATGCATCCCACTGTATTAGTATGTTTTGTTATTAGTGTAATATGAAATAAATTCTACTTGTGTCAAGTCGGGTGCCAATATTTGCTGTGTAGTAGAACAGAGACATTTGTCATTATAAATGTTTATTTGATAAAATATATAAATTCAGTAACAAAAACATTAAACATAAATATATAAAATTTAACTATTTACAGAGAGACAGGAATAAAAAGGACCCAGCTTGGAGTGGAAGAGCCTCAGGGAGAAGGAGGAGAAGAATAAGCACATTGTTTCTGCCCTGGAGAGCCTGCTGCCTCATCAGAAAACTACTGATCATTAGGGTCCAATGTTTCCAAATTTAACACAGCTGTGCTGTTTTCAAAAACTAATTTATAAATTTGAAATTTCACGAATTCTCGTGTCTGAGGCGGCATGCTCTCCAGAGCAGGAACAAGGCTGAGGAGGAAATAATCTGTTGGAGACGGGCGTGGCCTCTTTAGGGACTCCAGGATGGCCAGCTCCACCGCCGATGGACCGTCCTGGGACCCGTCCCTCGCCCACCTTCGAGCTGTCCTCCTCTGTGGGCCTGTACAACACAGCACAAAACACCACAAAGTAATGAGAAGGCTGCTACTAGATTTTCATTTTCAAAATTGAAAAAAAAAAACAGGATATGAACAGATTGGTTGTAGATATTTAGTAAAGGTGATCATAAGGGGATTCAAGCAAGTAAAAAGCTATCAGTGCTTGATGTTCATACCTGTGGGTGCAGCAGCAGGAGTGGAGGGACCAGGGACTGGGGAGCCAGGAGAAGCAACAGGGGAGGACTCTGCTGCATGATTATTTGACTCTATCAAGACAATAGTCAGAGAATATAATATTATTATATACTTATTATTATATACAGTGGTCTCTCATTTATTGCAGCACATGAACAGTAGTCAGAGTTCTCACAAGTTGATTCTCAAAGTGCAAACCTTTGTCGATTTTAAAACGTAAAAGTATTATGCCGCGCTTTTTCTCCGTCTGCGGCGCCACTTTTGTGCGCCTTTTTTTTCTCCCGGTGCAGGTGTCTATTTCCGAATGAGGGTCATAGTTAAGGGTGTTTTTGTGCTGTTTTTTTTTCTATTGGACATGATGGTTATCAACACCAAACATGATAAGTTTGGCAAGCGCAGGAGACACGACACGGAGGAGATTTGTCATTTGGGCTGCAGAATGCAAAGCGCATTGTTGAAAGCTGTACGGTGCAATAAAAAAAAATCAGCGAAAAGGCGAGGCAGTGACGGATGAACAGCAGGACTACTGTATACTGTTTATTAATAAACAAAATATATTCCTGTATGACAACACGCATGAATTAACTGCCTACATTAATTCATTGTAAACATACCTTCTGACTGACTGATATCCCTGCTGCCTCTTCGGGCTGTCCCTGGTCCTCATGGGAGAAGTTCTCCACGGTCCGCACCATATTTCCGCTGGTCTCCCGCGGGGTGAGGAAGGGGTCCAGAAACCCCATGACCGCGAAGAACTTCCATCTCCTCCCCGATCCTGCTGCAGACCCACTCCTCTTCTCCTTCTCTGTCCTCTTCTCCTTATTATAGGTGTCCCTGAGGCTCTTCCACTTTCTCCTGCAGATGTCCTCTGAATAAACGCATTATCTGGTTAGCGGAAAGGTATTTGTACAACAGTGGGAAAATCGCGGGACAGTAGGCGGGCTTGCTAGCTTTTGCGCGGCTTCATCGGGTCAGTCTGAAAATTAAAAGGAAAAAGGAATGAACTTACCAGGTTGCCCGATCTCCTCACTTATGTGTCTCCAAGCTAGGTCCTTTTTATTCCTGTCTCGGTAGAAATAGTAGCTGGCATCATACAGCTCGGGGCGATTAGCCACAGCGCTGATTAGCTTTTCCTCCATGCTGAATGAAGAATGAAGGGCTTTGGCTGGATCTGCCCCTTTGACCTAGGTCAGAGCCACGTCACCAGGCTCCTGATTGGTTGTCGCGGCGCGATTTGATGCTTGAGTTCAGATTTTTCCAACTCGCGCGGTAGACGCGAAATGCGCGTATGCACAAAATGCAACACAAAAACTCACGCGCGTCCATTGACTTTACATGTAAACCTGACGCTCTATTCGCGTCCATCGCGTTCGGTGTGAACACACCGTTAAGGCCAAAACAGAGAGAATGAGGAGGAGCTTCTTCCCCCAGGCTATTCGGGCCCTGAACCAGGTGTAGGACTGGACTCTCCCACACACATTATATCACTATAAGACTGGATTCTCACACACATCACATCACCACACGCACTCTGGTTTTTCTTCATGCACACTTTCTATAATTTATAATCTCTTTCTGCTATTTGCACATTTTTTTACTGTAAATTTCTAAGTTAAATGTGTAAATTTTTTATAACCTGTAAATTGTAAATACTGTAAAACCACTATCATTTAATGGTCAGGCATTGCATTGCACAGCTACAAGCATTTCACCTCATATCATACTGTGTATGGTTGTGTGTGTGACAAATAAAATTTGAATTTGATTTGACATAAGGGTCTTTCACCTCAGCGTTTGCCTTTTTTAACAAGAGTTTCACAGTTTGTACTCCTCTCTCTGCCATTCCGTTTGACTGTGCATGGTGGGGGCTTGTTGTGTTGTGACAAAACTCCCACTCTTTTGCAAAGTCTTGGAATTCACGAGAGCTGAACTGTGGTATGTTGTCAGAATGCCGTGTCTGGCAAATTGTGACTTAAGATGAGTGCTGACTGTTGCACTTCTTGTGTCTGACTTCAGCCACTCAACCTCAATGAACTTGGAATAGTAATCCACTAAGAGGAAGTATTCCTGCTGGTCAAAGGTTAATAGGTCCACACTGATCTTCTGTCAGGGTCTTTCTGGAACACTATGTGGATGTAGTGGCTCTTTGGTCTGTCGTTTCTGGTCAGTTCTGCACACATTACAGCAGTTCACCATCTCAGTGATACTCTGTGACATTCCAGGCCAAAAGAGTACTTCTCTCGCTCTGCGTCTGCAGCTTTCAATACCCAAGTGACCCTCGTGAATGCGCTTTAGCATTTCTGCTCTCAGTGCTGCAGGTATGCCAAGGTATTTAATTTCCTCCAGGCCTACCTTACATTTGTCCTTGTTCAGCTTGAACGTTTTGGCTCTTGCTCTGTCAAGCACTTGCCTCAGTCTGTCGTCATGCTGTACTTTAATCTCTCCACAGATCAAAAGGTTGTCTATGTACGTGTCTACGCATTCAATCCCCTCAAACAGCTGCCTCACCATCCTGTAACGACCAAAAGGTGTGTTGAATGTACAGAGACGGGAGCTGGCTTCATCTAATTTAAGTTGCCAAAATCCTGAGCTTGCGTCCAGCACAGTGAAGTATCTGGCCTTTGACAGTCGGCTTGTTATCTCTTCAACTGTTGACAACTAATAGTGTGCTCTCATTACTGCTGTATTGAGATCACGTGGATCTAGGCAGACCCTCAGTTGTCCAGTAGCCTTTTCCACAATGACGATTGGATTCACCCACTGGGTAGGCTCTTCAATTTTTGCAATCACCTTCATTTTTTCCATTCTGTCCAGTTCTACTTTGATTTTTTTCTCTCAAAGTGACAGGGATTTTTCTAGGTGGATGAGCTTTTGGTGTCACACTCATTAATCTGAATGTTGTGTTCTCCCTCCAGGCAACCTATGCCCTCAAACACATCAGCAAATTCTTTGAAGATGTCCATTTCATCACTTTTATTCAGTGCCATCACTCGCTTGGTGAGTCCTATTTCTTCACGTTTGAATTCCCACAATCGGCTTGGTTTCTGATTTTACAACAATGAACTCCAAGTCAAAACCTTTCTCTTTGTATTTCACTGCCCATGTGCACTTTCCTTTCAGTGCACATGGGCTATTTTATCTATGGTGTAAAGTGTAAAGTGTGCGTGTTAGTCCCCATAGGGAAATAGTTCCTCTTCATTTAACCCATTCACCCAGTGAAGCAGTGGGCAGCCACCAATGCAGCGCCCGGGGAGCAGTGTGTAGGGACGGTACCTTGCTCAGGGGTACCTCAGGGTAGCCGTTCAGTGGAGTCGAACCTCCGACCTTCCGATCATGGGGCCACCACTCTACCTACTGAGCTATCCCTGCCCTGGTGTATGGTGACAGCTTGACATTTGTGGGTTTAAGCATTTTCTTATTTCCTATTCTTTGTGGTAGACTGTAGGGAACCATATTGGCTTGTGCACCAGTATCAAGTTGGAATTTGACAGGTTTGTGGCCCACTTTTATTTATATAGTCCATTCATCCGCTCGTGTCCGTGTTTTTGCATTTACAGCCCTAATGAACAGACTTGCCTGTTGATCTGTGGCTTCATCGGCGACAGTGTGCACTTTTCTCGATCCTTGAAGTGTGTCCCTGTTGTCACAATAACTGACCATATTGTAATGAATTGTAGATATTTACTATGTGCCATAAGATTATAAAATCTGCCATAAAATTTTATAATCTGCCCTTGCCATAAAATTAAAATAAATCTTAAAAAAGAGAGGGAAAATCTCTAGCAGTGATGCTGCTTCTTGATGTCTTTAATGGGCAAAACTAATACCAGATTTAAAGTTGGTATGCAAATAGTAAAAAACACAAAACAAAAAAACAAATG